ACTTTTAAAGTTGGACTAAATGCATTTTGCATTTTATATGATCATGAGCCTATGGGGGCCAGGGGATGGAATGTGGTGGTTTGAATGAAAATGTCTCCCATAGGCTCCAAGTATTTGGACATTTTGTCCCCAGATGATGGCACTGTTTTGGGAGGTTTTAGAAGGTATAGCTATCCCAGAGGAAGCATATCACTGGGGGTGAGCTTAGAGAGTTCTTAAGCCTTGCTGGATCTCCAGTTGCTCTCTTGCTTCCTGTGCCTGTGTGATGATATGAGAGCTTAGCTTCTGCTGTTCCTGCTCCAGCTACCTCCAGCCACCATACCTCCCTGCAATGATGGACTGTAATTCCCCTGGAACCGCAAGCTCAAATAAACTCTTCCTTCTATTAAAAAAAGGGGGGGGGGTTGGGGGATGGGAGGGGAGAAAATGCCATAAGGAAATCATGCTAACTTAAAAAAGTAACTTAAAGGGGCTGAGACTATAGCTGGTATGACATCTGCCTAGCATGCATGAAGCCCTGGGTTCCATCCCATAAACTGAGCATGGTGGTACACACCTAGATGCCCAGCACTTGGGAAATGGAAGCAGGAGGATCAGAAGTTCAAGGTTATTCTCAGCATTGCATAGTAAGCTTGAGATCAGTCTGTACTATATGAGACCCTGTCTAAAAAAAAATTAAGCTGGGCGTGGTGGCACATGCCACAGGCAGATCTCTATAAGTTCAAGGCCAGTCTTGTCTACACAGTGAGCTCCAGGCTAGCTGGGGCTACAGGGAGACCCTGTCTCAAAAAAGACCAAAAAAAAATTTAATTGAGGAAAAAGTAATGTTTCATGTAAGATACAGACAGCTCTGGTTGGTCAATCAACCAGCCATGCATACCAGTTACACTGAGATTGCACTGCAACATTTTTACTTTTTTTTTCTGTCTTTTTGAGACAGGGTCTCCCTGTAGCCCCAGCTATCCTGGAACTCACTATGTAGACCAGGCTGACCTTGAACTCACAGAGATCTGCCTGCCTCTGCTTCCCAAGTGCTGGGATTAAAGGCCTGCACCACCACACCCGGCTCCATTTTTACTTTCGTACAACAACAAGAAAAAGTTTTGAAAAAGAAAATCTTAACGTGAAAAATGAATTTCAAGCTGGGTTTGGTGGCACATGCCTTTAATCCCAGGACTTGAGAGGCAGAGGCAGGTGGATCTCTGAAAGTTCTTCAAGGCCAGCCTGGTCTACATAGTGAGTTGCAGGCCAGCTGGGGCTACAGGGAGACCCTGTCTCAAAAAGACAAAAAAAAAAATTCAATATTTTAGATAGGAGCAGTTGTGAGGCATTCAATGTGGGTGTTGGGAACCAAACTTAAATCCTCTTCAAGAGCAGGAAGCACTTTTTAAAAAAATATTTTCTTAGCCAGATGTGGTGGTGCATGCCTTTAGTCCCAGCACTCAGGAGACAGAGGCAGGCAGATTTCTACGAATTCAAAGCCAGCCTGGTCTATATAGTGAGTTCCATGCCAGCTGGAGCTACAGGAGACTGTCTCAAAAAGACCAAAAAAAATTGTTTTTCTTTATTTTATTTAATGTGTATGTGTATATTCCTTGTTTGTAGGTAGGTGCACCTGTGTCATGCAATGCCCACAGACGTCAGAAGAGGGCAATGTATCCACTGGAACTGGAGTACAGAAGGTTGCTGGTTGCCATGTAGGTGCTGGAAATCGAACCTCAGTCCTCTGCAAGAGCAGTCGGTGCTCTTAACTGCTAAGCCATCTCTCCAGTCCGCAGGAAGCACTTTTAACTAACACTGAAACATCTCTCCAACCCTCTAATACAATTTTACAGATGAATAAACTAAAATGCAGCAAATAGTAGTAATGTCTTTAAGATCACATGGCTAGGAAGAACCATAATACAAAACTAGATGTCTCAGGGAAGCAACTTAACCTAAAGCCTCTCTGACTTTCAGAGATCTACTTTGTTTTTGTTTGTTTGTTTGTTTGTTTGTTTTTTAAAAAAGAGGGCTATAGGGATAGCACAGCTGTTAAAGGCTAAGGCTAACAACCAAAACGTTAGAAAAAAAAAAAAAGTTCATGAGGGAAGAGCAGGAGGCTGAGAATGTAAACCAAGAAGAGTGGTCAGTCTGCCAAATGCCACAGAGAGACTGTGAGGATGTGGCATGAGGGAGAGGTGAGGATGATTGGCCCATGACTCTGTGGGCTCAGGTGTGACCCTAGAGGAAGCAGAAGACACAGTCCTGACAAGGCCAAGGCACTCCCTCAGGAGACTTGGCCAGCAAGAAGAAGTCACAAACGGAGACTCAGCCAAAGTAATTCCTTTGTTGGACAGCTGTGTGCTAAAATTATAAAAGCCAAACTCCTGGGCTTGGCTTAGATGGGATGCCCAAAAGGTATGATAAAAGATCCAGGGAGAAAACTTAGGCAAACTGTTTTTAAAAATGCCAAGTATGGCCCACCCCAGATACCTCAGGCGCATTGACCCTTTGCTGTGTGCATCTGTCTCTTTTGGAGGAGTTACAACCAAGACATCTGGGAATTTTTTAGTAGTCCCAAGAAACATGATGGAAAGGAGACTGGCACCAGAGCCAAAAAGAAGCTATAACTATCTGCTGTTTCCGCTTTCCTGCAGTCATGCAAGCGGAGCTGGTATCACAACCAAGTCTGGCTGCATTCTCTCCTGAGAAGCAGTCTAGAGGCCTATGCAAAATGTGTGTGGTGCTTTCCTGCAATGTTGTCATGTCCTGTTTGTATGGATATGAAGCAGTATTCCACTTGAAAGAAAGTAATGACAGGTGCTTCCTATCCAGAAACAGATGACAAGGCACAGCCATGTGCACAGACTCAATCTTCCATGACCCTGGAGAGGTAGGTGCTGTCTTTACCTCACATACTTGGTAAGTAAAAGTCGGCCACAATTTAAACCCATCACCTCTGACTCTGAGTCCCACAATCTTTCAGTTATAAACCAGCTAATTTTTTATTGGCCAAAATTCTCTGAAACCCCCTTAGCCCTAGTCTGGATGTAAAACTTAGTAACAAGAGTTTTATTGAATTAAGAGGAATTGTGTAGTGAGGAAAGAATGTATGACTTTGCTTGTTGGTAACCTTGCTACTCGCCCTGAGCCCCAGGGTCTTATCTCTGAGACAGGAATGAGAGCTACCTTGAAGAGTGGCCAGAAGAGGGAAAACTACACACAAGCACTGGCACAATGACAGGCAGAGAGTAATTACTCACCAGGATTAGCATTCTTCCATCATCTACCTCCCCAAGACTTTTTGAGCCCAGAGACCCTAAAATTGATTCTCTCTAGCTCAGATCTTTGGTGAGTGATAAGGAAACAGGACAGTTGTGGTATAAAACCAGGTAATATACTCCAAAGTCCCATAAAATTATTTTTCTTTTACTTTTGGAGTCCTGTCCTAGGAATACATTCCTCCCATGAAGGGAGACAAAACTTGTTCTAGAGCTTCCAAGATCAAAAAAAGCCATAAGAACCTGTTGTGGTGGCCCACACTGGTGTTTGCAGCAACTGTGGGGCAGAGGCTGAGGATTACTAGGAGTTCCAGGTCAGTTTAGACTTTATATACAGTGAGAACCAGGCCACTTGAGCTACTGAGGGAGTAGAGTGAGACCCTGTCTCAAAATAAGCAAGCAAGCAAGCATACATACATCTGGCATTCTGAAATACAACACAAAAGAGCTTCACCTCTCCAAAGTAATGCCAGCATCCTGAATGATGCTATAAGCTGGAAGGGGACTGCAGACATCCTATCCTTCATCTTCCCAGCTGTCATTCTTTGATTCCCTTCACTGTGAGGTAAAGAAGGCCGGCTCAGTCAACAGTTTAATCTGTTTACAAGGACCTCTTTGGTCAAAAGAAAGACCTCCACAGAAAACTGCCCTCCTGTCTAATTCACAGAGTGGAATCTCAAATGCCTCCAGGATCAGTGGGTAAAGCAATGAATTAAGAAGATGAGTGGGACTCAGTGGAGACTGTGGTGAACAGGACACAAACCAGGGCACCTAAGCAAGGGCACCTCACTTCCACCCTGTAGTCATCCTAGCTCCCTGCACTTTCAAGAGAGCAGCAGGGGGTAGGACACTTAAAAGTCAAGACCAATCCAATTTCTTTTTAGGTGAAACCTCCAAGCTTTAAAAAAATAAAAACAAAACAAAACAAAAAACCATTTTGAAATGTTTTAAAATCTAATCTTTCAAAAAACCAAATCCTGTAGCCTACTTTCCACCAGCCTGTCATCCTGGTTTGCACCATGGTCGGAGCCCTACAGATGAACCCTACAGAATTCTCAGAGCTCTGTCCTTTTCCAGATCTGGCCGTTTTTCCTGTCTGCCGCCACTTCTCTAGAACCTCTGGCTCACGTTCTTCACGGATGTCCTCTGTCTTCCCAGGGCATCTCAAGCTTTCCACAAATCCTCCCTCTCCCGAGCTGCAGAACTGAAGGGATGCTCTCAGACGTAGACCCACATAGACCCACTTTTTTTTCCCCCAGGGAGCCCCGAGTCGCCTGAATAGGGAGGGGTCCCCCCCAACCCCCCGCCCCGCCATCCCGCCGCTTTCACAGGGAAAACAGGACCTCACCCTAGGGAACTCCAGGATGGGGATGGAGTAGAGGATTCCTCTTTGAAAATCGGATAAGGGAGTAAGGGTGGACGGGGTCTGGAGACATGACTGAGCTGTGTGGTCTTGGGCTAGGAGCCCCGGGTCCTTTGGGCACCCTTCCCCTCCAGTCACTTCCAAGGAAATGGATTCTTGGGGGACAGGCACTGCGGACAGGGAGGCGCTCCTTCGCAGATGGCCCAGGTAGCTGGAGAGAGCATTTGCGGTGGCACTGAGCCTCCCCGGCCCCCGCTCCTGGACTGCCCCCCTTTCCTCGCGCGCCCAGCCAGAGAGCTGAAGCTCCTCCCCCAGTGCGCCGCCCCAATCACCCGCCTTAAAAGCCGGGTTCGCACCGCCCCGCCGCGCCCAGCCTGCCTCACCTTCGCGTTCTCGCCAGGCCTTGCCGCAGCTGCGCGCCCGGCCTTGATCCCGGCACCATGAGCTTCGGCTCAGAGCACTACCTGTGCTCCGCCTCCTCCTACCGTAAGGTGTTCGGGGACGGCTCCCGCCTATCCGCGCGCCTCTCCGGGCCCGGCGGCGCGGGCAGCTACCGTTCTCAGTCGCTGTCCCGCTGCAATGTGGCCTCCACGGCCGCCTGCTCCTCGGCCTCGTCGCTTGGCCTGGGCCTGGCCTACCGCCGGCTGCCCGTGTCCGACGGGCTAGACCTGAGCCAAGCGGCGGCGCGCACCAACGAGTACAAGATCATCCGCACCAATGAGAAGGAGCAGCTGCAGGGCCTCAACGACCGCTTCGCGGTGTTCATCGAGAAGGTGCACCAGCTGGAGACGCAAAACCGTGCGCTAGAGGCCGAGTTGGCCGCGCTGCGGCAGCGCCACGCCGAGCCGTCGCGCGTCGGCGAGCTCTTTCAGCGAGAGCTGCGCGACCTGCGCGCGCAGCTGGAGGAGGCGAGCTCGGCGCGCGCGCAGGCCCTGCTGGAGCGCGATGGGCTGGCTGACGAGGTGCAGCGGCTGCGGGCGCGCTGCGAGGAGGAGAGCCGCGGGCGCGAAGGCGCCGAGCGCGCTCTGAAGGCGCAGCAGCGCGACGTGGACGGCGCCACGCTGGCCCGCCTGGACCTGGAGAAGAAGGTGGAGTCGCTGCTGGACGAGCTGGCCTTCGTGCGGCAGGTGCACGATGAGGAGGTAGCCGAGCTGCTGGCCACGCTGCAGGCGTCTTCGCAGGCCGCCGCCGAGGTGGACGTATCGGTGGCCAAACCCGACCTGAGTTCGGCGCTGCGGGAGATCCGCGCCCAGTATGAGTCCCTGGCCGCCAAGAACCTGCAGTCCGCAGAGGAGTGGTACAAGTCCAAGTTCGCCAACCTGAACGAGCAGGCGGCGCGCAGCACCGAAGCCATCCGAGCCAGCCGGGAGGAGATCCACGAGTACCGGCGCCAGCTGCAGGCACGCACCATCGAGATCGAGGGCCTGCGCGGGGCCAATGAGTCGCTGGAGAGGCAGATCCTGGAGCTGGAGGAGCGACACAGCGCAGAGGTGGCCGGGTACCAGGTGAGGTATGGGGCACTGTCCTGGGACGGGTGCCCTGCCCTTTTCCGGGCATACTTGCACTCCTTGTGAAACGGTACCCTAGGGAACCAGGGGAGGGAAAGGGAGGAGAGAGCAGTGTCGATGGCAAACAAAAAAATCATGAAGTCACTCAGTCTCTATGTGACCATGTGCCTGGGCTCCCTCGGTTCTGTTTCTGGGCTCATTTTATTTCTTTGTGGCGCTGGGGATCGAACCCAAGTCTTCGTGCATGTACTAGGCATATGCCCAAACACTGAGCCACATCCCCGGTCCCATGTCTGAACTCTTTAAACAAAGAAGCCTTTAAACTTATTAGGAGTCCGAAACATCTGTGTCTTTGTCAACAAGGGGACACACACTGATGTCCCAAAGTAGGAGTGAGCCCAGCGGAAGCAGGGCACGGCCCCTCCGTGGTCCAGACTGTTCTCTTAACTATCTGGTTTGTGTAATTGACTTGGAAAAGATTTCTGTGAGCCTCGAAATTGATATTTTTGGAATATGGTCTGTCTCGGGGTTGAGAACTGAGAAAAGGAGTAGAGGATGGAACCAGATGAACTGGCAGTGACTGAGCTAGTGACAACTGCCTTGCCCCACCCTAAACCCCCACTGCCTCCCGCGACGCGCGAGGACACACGTACACACACACACACACACACACACACACACACACACACACACACACACGCACACGGTTCCTTTGTCATCTACAGACATTTCTTCTAAAAGCTTTGCACAAGCTTAGTGTGAAAACAGGTCGGGCGCTGTCCTCGGTGCTGATCTCGAGTTCCTCCCATCTCAGAAATGTCTCTGATTTCATTGTTTCTGAACTGTCCCAGATAGGAATCTCTAAGCTTTGAGGCAATTAACTGCTTTGATTTTTTTTTTAATTCTGCAATACCGTCAGCATTGGCTACCTGAAGTCAAAGTTTATCTTGTGGACAGCATCAATTCTCGATTTCATGGATGGCTTAGCACTTAACAAAAAACAGTTAATCTGCTCAGCAGCTGTGAGATCCCTTGAAAATTCCCATTACCTCATTTTCCAACTTAAGTGCATATGACAAATTACAGAGATGGTTTCGTTGTTATAGATGACATCTTTTCCTGCCTTATAAACTTATAAGGTAATGATTGGGTCATCCCAACAAAGGCCACAGCATCCTCAGTTTCTCTACATAGGATGTTCTAGGTTTGACTACAAAGGGCACAGAGGCAGAAGACAGGATGAATGAAAACTGTAGAAAACAACCAAAATTACGTGGTTCAATTTCAAGGAACAATAGAAGCTGTTTTGAATAGAATGTCAATAATTCAGAAACTTCAAATAGTTTAGTCTAGCTAGGATTAAATTTTAATTTGATGAAATTAATAGGTTTTAGGAACATTAATAAAACAGAGCCAAGAAAGGGCATAAAATTTCAAAAGTACCATTTTAGTCAGAAGCTAAAGAATTATTGATGTGCAGGTATTTTCTGTCCATTACAAATGACTCCCTTTCATAGAGGGAGAAGGGCTACTTGAACTGTTTGGGATTACAGTATTATTCAAATAAATATTCCTATTTTGGTTCAAAATCTGTAACTTGAACTTTTCAGTGTTTCCTAGCCCCTAGATAATCTGAATTAATCACACTTACTTAAGACTTCATCTTTTCTTCCAGAAGTTTCAATGATTGAGTGAGGTGGGCTTCTTGAGCAATAGCCCAGTGATTGCTACAAAGAGTTTAACTTACCCAAAATTGTCAGCTGAATTGGGCTTTGCAGTACCCTCCCTTTGCTTGTTTAATCTCTTTCTTACATTCTACAAGGTTGTGATGGTATTGTTGGAATATTTGCTGTAAAACACAGACTTTTGGTGTTTGAAAAATAGTAGGGTCATCCAGACATGGTCTGCCAGGAAACAAAAGACAGAGAAACTGCGGCGCCACAGCTCTGCAGTGCTGTCCCCATCAGCTTTCCAAGCCTTAGTGGACCTGCTGAGGGAAGTAGTAGAGGAGGCCAGACAGCAGAAAGCTACTATTTCCTACCCCAAGGTTGGGGTGGGGCTTACAGTTTGACCTCCAAACTCGAAGGCCTGTAGCCCCTGACTGTTCCCTAACAATCTTAGTGCTGACCCAGGTGGAAAGCCTCCTTCTCACTGTGGGATTCAGCCATTGTTTTCTTGGCCTTTCACCCATCCCCCCTTCACTGCAGTAATGGGAAGCTCTTCTCTTCCGGTTTAGAAATTCATAGTAGGCACATTCTTCTTTACAAGCTTTTCAACCTTCTCAAAGACAAGAGAAAGTACCCATTAAATCACATTTTCCCTCACCCTTCAAGAGCTGATAACCTATTTGAAGAGAGAAAGTTTAATACACTTTCAGAAGGATAAAGAGTGATTCAAGGTGACATAGCAAGTACACAACAGCATATGAGAGAGTGAAGCAGACAAGAGGAGATGAGGAAGAGCTAGGGCTATTGTCTTCAAAAGCCAAATGCAGTCCTTTCCTTTCCTTTCATTTCATTTCATTTCATTTTTGACAGGCCAATTTCTGGTCGCTACATAACTGTAGTACCACCATTAGAATCTCCACTGTGCTAAAGCTGTAGAAAGACAATCTAGGAGGATAGTGGGGTCACAGATGTAGTGTGGTCAGTCTTAGAAAGCCAAAGCTTTCCTTGAAAGACCTTGCTGAGCAGTCAAGATCACTGCAGGTTAATGCTCTCCGGGGAAGTAAGCCAAGTCTGCCCTCTTCTTTCCATTATGAGACTGGAGCCCAGCCTAATTAAATAGCAGGAAGGGTCTGGCCCTTGGGAGACTAGAGGTGGCAGTGGCTGCATATAAATCTATAGCCTAATAAATCCATTTCTGAAATTAAGATTCAAGAGAAAAAAAACTTATTCAATCTTTTTTTAAAAAATAGTTCCATCTGGTGTCATGCCCACCACCCACCATTTCTATTACTGTCACCTGGACCACCACAATAGCTTCCTTATAGAGGTACATTTAAACCAGTGATTTCTTTTTTTCTTCTTCTTTTTTTTCTTTTTGAGGCAGGGTCTCCTTGTAGCCCCAGCCATCCTGGAACTCACTATGTAGACCAGACTGGCCTCGAACTCACAGAGATCCACCTGCCTCTGCCTCCCGAGTGCTGGGCGAGTGCTGGGACTAAAGGTGTGCGCCACCACCCCCAGCCTTATTTATTATTTTTATTTTATGTGTATGACTGTGTTGCCTGCATGTAAGTGAGTGCCCCCGTGTCGTGCAATGCCTCTAAGGTCAGAAGAGGGTTTTGGATTCCCCTGGAACTGGAGTTAAGGACGGTTTGTAGCCACCATGTGGGTGCTGGGAATTGAACCCGGGTCCTCTGCAAGAGCAGTCAGCACTCTTAACTGCTGAGCCATCTCTCCAGCCTCTAAAATATTTTTTTTAATGCTTGCCAGTGGTTTCTCAACTCCCTGGAATAGTAAGGTCAAAGGAACAGCTTTAAAAAGAGAGCACGGCATGTGGTGTTGCCCGTCTTTAATCCCAGCACTCCAGAGGCAGAGGCAAGCAGATCTTTGTGAGATGGAGACCATCCTGGTCTCCATAGCCAGTTCCAGGCCTGCTGGAGCTACAGGAAGACCCTCACTCAAAAAAGAGATTCTCAGCCACTCCTGAAGAAGTGGTTTCAGTAGATCATAAGTGGGCACGGATGAATATGTTTTTTGTTCTGTTTTGGGTGATTGTGTTTATTTATTTATTTTTTTAAATTTATTTATTTTTTGGTCTTTTTTGAGACAGAGTCTCCCTATAGACACAGCTGGCCTGGTACTCACTATTTAGACCAGAGGTCCACCTGCTTCTGCTTCCTGAGTGCTGGGATTAAGGGCATGCATCAGCATGACTGACCTGGTTTAGTTATTGGGGATAAGGTTTTCCTATGTTTCTCAGGCTGATATTGAATGTGCCATGCTCCTACCGCAGTCCCTCAAGTGCAGGGATTATAGGCATGCCCTGCTGGGAATATTGCATTTTCAATGAAAGTGCCATACTCTTGAGGGTTCAAAGACTTTTTGAGGTGAATTGACCTAAACCACATTTCTGTGTGATAGACGTAAAAGATAAGGATGAAACCAAGATAAGAGTGACAAAGGGAACCACATGGTGCCTTGTGGGTGGACCACATTAAAATCTCCTCTCCCCATCCAACTGATTATGCATAGCATAGCAGAAGTTCTCATGGCCTTCCCTCACCCCTGCATGCCTGACTGAGGTCTCCTCCCTCCCTCAGAGTGAGGAAATCGGCAACAGTTTTTCCCGTCTCTACTGCAGATGCTAGTGCTGCCCATTCTTTCTCTTCTTTCCAGCCATGGGCCAGATACCTAGCTAGTAGAGAGACCCCAGCTGGAACAGGGAGTGCCTCCTCTCCCTTGTTCCCTCTGGCTAAGCCAGCAGCTGCTGCATGGTTGGGGGAGGGGGCAGACTGCAGAGCTCTGCTCACATTTCCTGCTGGAGGCCATCTTTGGCAGGGCTTGTGAAGGGCAGTACAAGACTGCCTGGTGTGGGGAAGAGGACACAAAGAGACCAGCCCTGATGAGGTTGATGAGCTATTGCTGTCAGCTCCTTCTAAGGAGCGGAGTTATAATTTTCATCTACTGTGATCCATAAAATAGACATGTGAAATATGTAACGTAAAGTGTAAGGAAACCTCACCCATCTAGAAGTCAGCTCCCCAACAGCCTCTTATTCAGAAAAGATCTGCAAAACAAAAGTAATTTTTTGAAAAGAATCTAGTTAACTGGCTGATAAGATAAAACATACTCCTCTAAATCCCACATTAAGAAGGTGGCCCCACTGATGTCTCTAATCATTCTTACTTAACATGATTCTAAAAACCTCTTCTGGGGCTGGAGAGATGGTTCAGCAGTTTAGAGCACTGACTACTCTTGCAGAGGACTCGGGTTTGACTCTCAGCACCCACAGAGAGGCTATGAACAGTCCTTAACTCCAGTTCCAGGGGA